CCTGGGCTTCCTATTTCAATTGTGATGACAATGGGTAGCTTAGCCGAGACACGCCCAATGAGCACAGGCTTTCAGCTCTGGAGAGGGCATCCGCTACTGCATTAGAGGGTCCCGGCTTGTTTTCGATAGCAAAATTTTACCCCGTCAGYTTGTAGGCCCATTTGTGCTGGTTAGGGCCCAAAACTTGCTTCTCCAACAAGTGCTTGATACTGCTGTGGTCAGTCTTGACAATGAACCGTCGGCCCAACAAGTAAGCTCTCCATTTTTGGACTGCTAGGGTGATGACCATGAGCTCCTTCTCGTAGGTGGACTTGGCTTGGGCCTGTGGAGAGAGGGCATTGCTGAAGTAGGCCAAGGGCTGGCCCTGCTGCATCAGGACTGCACCAATTCCGGTACCCGAAGCGTCAGCCTCTACTATGAACTCCAGCTCAAAGTTAGGAAGAGCTAGTGTAGGAGGTGAGGTGACAGCTTCCTTAAGTGTTGGAGGTGATGATTAACTTTGTGTTTGGAGACATCTGGTGCAAATGGGTGATGGGTTGCATACTTGCATTGGGGATTGTCATTATTCCATTTTGGTGAATGGGACAGTGGTGGACTATTCCCTAGCTTTGAGAGGGATTAGACAAGGAGACCCTCTATCCCCTTTCTTGTTTACTTTGGTTGCAGAAGTATTGGGGAGATTGATATCTAAAGTAGCGGATGCCCTCTCCAGAGCTGGAGAGTTGGAAGAGAAAATATACCACTTACACACCTACAATTTGCGGACGACACAAATTTGTTTTGTGGAGGGGATATCAATAGGATTAGAAACCTGAAGCTCACTATACAACTTTTTGAGCAAATGTCAAACCTGAGGGTGAATTTTGAGAAAAGTTGTATAGTTTGAGTCAATATGGGGGACGGGGGGGTTTAGGAGTATGCAGATATTTTGGGGTGTGAAGTATCTAATTGGCCTTTAAATTACCTAGGTTTACCTTTGGGGGATAATCCTCAGAAAGGTGATTTTTGGGCCCCTTTTGAGGAGAGGTTTGAAAAGAGACTTGCTAATTGGAAGAAAAATTATTTGTCTCTTGGAGGGAGAATCACCTTAATTAAGTCTACTTTGGCTAACCTTCCTATTTATTTTTTGTTAGTCTTTAAGATTTCGGCTAAGGTGGTTAGCAGGCTGGAAAAACTAATGAGGGACTTTTTGTGGGAGCTAGGGGAGGAGAAAAAGGATCATAGGGTTAGGTGGGAGGTGGTATGTAGGGGTAAGCAGGAGGGAGGTTTGGGAATTGGGAACATAAGGATTAGGAACTTAGCATTACTATGGAAATGGCTGTGGAGATTTTCATTGGAGAAAGAAAGACTGTGGGTTAAGATAGTGGGAAGTATACATGGACTGACAGACAATGGATGGGACTCTGGGATTCTTGCAAGGACTACAAGAGCTTCTCCATAGAAAGCTATTCAAGCCATCTTGCCCTTATTCTCTCCTTGGATAAGGTACAATTTGCACTTAGACAACCTCATTAAATTTTGGGAACAAGTTTAGGTTGGGGATTCCTCCTTGAAAGATCAATTTCTAGGCCTCTTTGCTATTTTTACCCTTAAAAATGAACCAGTTTCCTCTTTTCTTATACCTTCTAATTCTCCTTTTGGGTTCAGATGGAACTTGAGTTTGAGAAGAGATGTCAAGGACACAGAATTAGCCTGTACTTTAGCCTTACTATCCATTCTTGAAGGGGTATTCATTGAGTCATCAAAGACAGATAATAGAATATGGACACTCACTCCCTCGGGTTCTTACACTTGTGCCTCTTTCTTTAAATCCCTTTTACCCCCTCTTCCTGTTGGATTGTCTTTCTTTGTTAAAGAAGTGTGGTGTCGACCTATACCTCCAGAAGTTGGGAGTTTCTGTTGGAAGCCTTTCTAGAAAGAGTTAATACAGGGGATCTACTTCAAAGAAAAAGACCCAATAGCTGTTTGTCTCCTCACTGGTGTGTTCTCTGTAAATCCCATGGTGAGTCTGGATACCATTTACTAATTTCTTGTCAGTTTGTTAAAGTTATTTGGGAATGGTTTACTTCTTTGTTTGGGTGCAGGTGGAATCCCCCTTTGAATGTGCAAAGCTTATTTACTTCCATGCCTAATTGGCCAGCCAAAAGGGCCAAGACCATGTGGAGATGTGGTAGGGTTGTAGTGTGTTGGACTGTTTGGGAGGAGAGAAATTCAAGTATATTCTCAAATAAGGAGAGAAGTTTGGAAACAATCCTGAAGACTATCCACATTAGGGTGATACATTGGTTGAGAACATTGGAATTGTTTTCACTGTTCTCAGTTGATGAGATGATAAGAAGCTGGAAGGAGATTGCAGATTCAAGCTTAATTAAGAAGGCCTTAAATTCTTGTTGGACACCTCCACCTCATGGGTTTACCAAACTGAACTTTGATGGTAGCAGCATAGGCAATCCAGGGCCCTCCGGAGTAGGGGGAGTGATAAGGGATGAAAAAGGGAATTTGTTAGCTATGTACTCTGGTCCAATTGGGGTGGGAGATTCCTCGAGGGCTGAGATTCTAGGAGCTCTTGAAGGGATACAAAGGGTCAAGGAAATGAATATTAAAAAGTTGATTATAGAAGGTGATTCTGAAATTGTGGTGAATTGGCTAAAAGAGGACAGTTCTATGCTCTAGAAATATAGCAATGAAAAGAGGAAGTTCAAGTGGCTCACCAAGGACATTGAAATTCATTGTACATGGATAAAGAGAAGTGCAAATGCATTGGCAGATGGTCTAGCTAGGCAAGGGCTGAATAGAAACTCTATTTTTTGGTCTGTTTTGTAATTGCCTCATGGTTAGGATGTGCTTTGGGTAGTTGGAGTTAAGAATTTTTAGCTCCTTCATCTGTAATTCTAATTTTCTCAATCATTAATAAAGTTCATTGTTATTGATAAAAAAAGAAAAGAAAATCTTCCTGAAGGGAAGGAACCAGTGGGATGCAAGTGGGATATTCATAGTGAAGCATAAGGCTAATGGAATTATTGAAAGATACAAGGCTAGACTGGTGGCAAAAAGTTTTACACAGGTATATGGAGTAGACTATGCAGAGACATTTGCTTCAGTAGCCAAGATGAACTCAATCAGAAGTGATTCAGAATTCTTCTCTCATTGGCAACAAATCTTGATTGGGAACTTCACCAATTGGACATTAAGAATGCTTTCTTGAATGGTGACTTAGAAGAGGAAGTGTACATGACCCAACAACCTCCAGGTTTTTGTACCAAAGGCAGTGAGCAGAAAGTGTGCAGGTTAAAAAATTCTCTATATGGGTTGAAACAATCACCTCGGGCCTGGTTTGGTAAGTTCCACCAGTTCAACAGATGGGGTTTCAACAATGCCAGTCAGACCACACTCTGTTTGTGAAGAAAGGTGAAGGGAAAATTGCAGCTTTAAGTGTGTATGCGGATGACATAGTGATCACAGGAGACTAGGAGACTGAAATACAGAAACTGAAGAAGTTCTTAGCCACTCAATGTGAGGTGAAAGATCTAGGACCCTTACGTTATTTCCTTGGAATTGAAGTTGCACGCTCTCAAAAGGGCATCTATATTTCTCAACCAATTGAACCTAATCGTCAGCTGGGAGACAGTCAGGGGGAGTTCTTGAAAGATGTGAAGAAGTTTCAGAGACTTGTAGGGAGACTCTTATATTTGCTTATGACCAAACTTGATATTGCTTATGTAGTGGGTGTTCTTAGTCAATTCACGCACAACCCTAGGACAACTCACTTTGAAGCCGCAGAGAGAATCCTTAAATACCTCAAGAAATTTCCAGGAGTTGGTTTGTTGTTCTAGAAACATGGACATTTAAAGGTGGAAGTATATACTAATGCTGATTGGGCAAGGGCAGTCGATGACAAAAAGTCTACTAGTGGGTATTGTACCTTTGTAGGAGGTAAATTGGTCACCTGGAGGAGTAAGAAGCAAAGTGTGGTGGCTAGATCCAGTGCTGAAGCAGAATACAGAGCTATGTCTCATGGAGTTGCTGAAATCATGTGGATAAGAAACCTGTCAGGTGACTTGGGTTTTGCAGCCAACAACCCCATGTCACTCTATTGTGACAATAAAACTACTATCAACATTGCTGCTAATCTAGTCTTCCATGATAGGACGAAACACATTGAAGTGGATAAGCATTTTATTAGAGAAAAACTTGTGAGTGGAGAAGTATGCATTCCATATGTCAGCTCAGAGGAACAACTTGCAGACATCTTCACCAAGGGTCTTCAACATGTGCGGCATAATGATTTGTGTGACAAGTTGGGAATGATTGACATCTATGCTCCAACTTGAGGGGGAGTGTTGAAATAGTTTATTTTATGTCTTATTTATTATATTCTGTCTTGTTAGGGTTTGTTTGGTTGTTTTAAAGTCTTTTTTATTTTTTGTTAGTGTACTTTACTTACAGCAAAGGCATAAGGGTCTTTTCCCTTTTATTTTAGATGCCCTATAAATACTAATAGAAGCTGGCGCCGCCAGTACTGTTCCATTGTTGCCAATCTCTTCGCTTCTCTTCTATCTTCTATCTTCTCTCTTCTTCTTCTCTTCTCTTTCTCTCTTATTTCTAGTCGGTTTTGTTGTCAAGACTTACATAGATTTAATTTTTCCTTTCCTATGAACTCAACATAATTGAAAAATGAAAATTTTACAATTTGATTCTTTTTGAACTTTGATTCTGAAAATGAATTCCGTCATCATCATCAACATCCAAGCCTATTCCAACTATGTGCGGTCGACTACATGAATCCTGTTTCTCCAGTCCCTTGTGTTTAATGCCATATTCATTGTTAAATTATTGGTGCTTAAATCATTTCTTTCTACTTCTACCAATGTTATTAATATACTTGATACCAATATTAAAACTAAAGCTCATCAGATTTACTTTATGTTTCTTCGCATCTTTATGGCTTCTTATAACTGGACATTTATAGTGCTTCTATCTTTCTTTATTGCATTTTGCAGACATCAGGCCAAATTTATTCAAGAAATTGTTGAAGAAGTTATGATGAAATTGAATAAAACGTTCTTAGATGTTGCTAATTACCCGGTTGGATTAGATTCACGTGTAGATGATTTGTTGGCACTATTAGATGTTGGATCAGACAATGTTTGTATTATAGGAATTTGGGGAATAGGTGGAATAGGTAAGACAACCTTAGCCAAGGCTGTCTATAATCAAATCTTTCACAGTTTCAAAGATAGCAGTTTTCTTGCAGATGTTAGAGAAGTTTCAAAACAACATAAAGGTCTGATTCAGCTGCAAAAACAGCTTCTTTCAGATATCCTAATGAAAAAAGACATAGAGGTCAGAGACATCCCTAGCGGAATTAAATTAATTAGAGACAGACTATTCTCAAGAAAGATACTTCTTGTTCTTGATGATGTGGATCATTCAGACCAATTAGATGCATTAGCTAGAGAACATAGCTGGTTTGGTGCGGGAAGTAGAATTATCATAACAACTAGAGATGAACATTTGCTGAATTTGCTTCAAGTGGATGAAAAATACAAGGTTAAGGAATTGTCTCTTGTTGAATCTACTGAGCTCTTTAGTCACCATGCCTTTGGAAAAGACCATCCCAAAGAAGATTATCTGGAGCTCTCAAGCCATGTGGTGCATTATGTTGGAGGGCTTCCTTTAGCACTTAAGGTTTGGGGTTCTTTTCTGTTCGACAAAGAAAAGGATGAATGGGAAAGTGCATTGGAGAAGCTTAAAAAGATTCCTAAGGATGAAGTTCAGAAGAAACTGAAAATCAGTTTTGATGCACTAGATGAAGAAGAGAAAAGTATCTTCCTTGATATTGCATGCTTTTTTATTGGAATGAATAAAGATTATGCAATTAGAATACTAGACGGTTGTGGTTATTCCACAAATATAGGAATTGGTGTTCTTATTCGTAAGTCCCTCCTAACAGTTGAAGTAAACAAGCTGGGAATGCATGATCTAATTCGAGATATGGGGAGAGAGATTGTTCGTCAGGAATCCCCAGAGAAGCCTGGAAATCGCAGCAGATTGTGGGATCATGAGGATATCCATCAAGTCTTACTGAAACACAGTGTAAGAATTGTTGCACAATTCTTTTATTTTTTTAATCTCATGTTATTAACTAACTTTTGTTGTTGTGTTAATTTTGACAATAAATAATGAGCAGAATAATAATAACACTCTTTTTACATGTCTGGAGGCTATAAATATGCCCCCTACCTCATTCTGTTCGTATGTTATTACACTAATCTTTTTTGTTTGATATTGTTAAAGAGAGCTAAAAGAAAATACTCTAGAATCACAACAACTAGTTCTATCAGAAAACAATGATGAAAGAAACAGGAAATTAACAAATTTCATGTCAAAAAACAGTTAGTCATTTGTTTTTTTGGTTCTATGCCAATTAGAGGAATGGAACAATTGAGACCAAACAGCATCCTACATATTTGTCGAGAAGCTAGCCAATAGATCTCAGGACAGATCTAAAAATAAAGGGAAAACAGAGAGAAAACTGGAAAGAACAAGAAGAAAATAGCAGCAAAGGAAGAGAAGAGAGAATAGTAGAGAAGAGGAGCAGAATAGAATAGTTCTGCCACCTCAAACAAATGAGAAAAAATACCTTAATATAGGATTTGATGAGAGAGAATGGGAATTAATACCTTAAACATAAGATTTAATGAGAGGGAATTAAATGAGGTGACAAGTAATTCAACTTACATTTTCTACCCTCAAATTAGAGAGGACCAAATTCAAAAATAGCAGTATTTTAGTCAGAAAGAAAAGTTTTACAAGCTCATTTGTAGTTCTAATAGTAGTGAGAAGAAATACTTTAAATATAGGATTTAATGAGAGAGAATGGAAGTTAATACCTAAAATCAAGGTTTTATTTTTTTTTCGCCAACTGGTTCAGGGGAGCCGGTTTAGGTCTTCGCCACACCCTGAACTAGTCAGACCACCGAGGGGTGTATCGGTGGGGTGCCGGAACAATATGTATCGGCCGATATGGGCCGATACGTGTCGATACTTTGAACCTTGCCTAAAATATAGTCAGAAAGAAAACTTACACAAGCTCATTCATACTTGTAATAGTAGTATAGATTTTCTGTACCTGTATGCATGTTAATGTGTGTACATCTTGCTTCTGCACTTAACCAATAATATTGTTATCAGGGAACAGAAGCAGTGAAAGGCCTAGTCCTGTCGAGGTTATTTGATGAACAGTTCAGTACTAGAACATTTGCAGAGATGAAAGAACTAAAACTGCTCCAACTTAATTATATATGCCTTAAGGGGACATATCAATATCTTTCTAGAGATTTAAGATGGCTCTGTTGGCATGGGTTCCCTCTAAAATATATACCAAGTGATCTTCATTTGGAGAGGCTTGTTGTTCTTGATATACAGTACAGTAAACTGAAGGAAATAAAGGTTTGATAAAATATCCCTTCTTTTTTTCTTTGGATTAATTTATTTATTTCAGAGAAACTAATTTGTGTCAACTGTTTTTAATTGGTTGCAGGTTCATCTGAAAAATTTGAAAATCTTTAATCTTAGCCATTCTCAATTCTTAACCCAAACACCAAACTTCTTAGGTTGCCCAAATCTAGAGATTTTGATCCTTGAAAATTGTACAAGGTTGTTTGAAGTTCATCATTCCATTGGAAATCTCAGTAAACTTGTTTATTTGAATCTGAAAGACTGCAAAAACCTTAGGAATCTTCCTAGCAGCCTTTGTAGATTAGCATCTCTTAAAAGCCTCATTCTGTCTGGTTGCCCAAATCTTTGCAAATTGCCATCTGAATCTTGGCAGTCATCATTATGGTCTTGGGTTTTACGGAGAGAAGGTCCCCTTACTCAGTTACCAATTCCATTCTCCTATTTATTCTCCTTAGAAAGTCTAGATCTCAGAGACTGCAATTTGTTAGAAGGCGCAATTCCAAGTGATCTTAGGAGCTTATCATCATTGAAAATACTGGACTTAAGGCAGAATAACTTGAGCAACCTACCAGCCAGCATAAGTCACCTTTCTCAACTCTGTGAGATTAGATTGAATAATTGCTTTAGACTTGAATCAATCACAGAGCTTCCATCATGTTTAAAACGGTTAGAAGCAGATCATTGCATTTCGTTGGAGAGAATAACAAACATCGGAAGTTTGACCTCATTGGAGTATTTAAGTTTAGACAACACCAACTTTTGCAACCTACCTGATGACATAATTCAACTTCCTAATCTCAAATTGCTTCAATTACGAGGATGCTCAAGGCTTCAAACACTTGCTCAGCTTCCATCATCTGTACATACCTTGTACCTGACGAAGTGCCCTGCATTAGAAAGCTTGAATATATCGGGCTCAGAGGGCATACAATTTTTTCATCTTATGAATTGTAATAAACTAGTTCAGGTTCGGATTCCAAGGAGGTTGAAATCTGAGGGGAAACTTGTCATGAGTGGTTGCAACAATTTGATGCATTCTTGTAGGAAGAATCTTTTGAATCTTCTCCAGGTCTCTCTTACTATGTCCATGTCTGTTTGTTTCTATATATGTGGTCTGGAACCTCTAGCAATTATTAACTTTCACCGGTTTACTTGCAACAGGAAACATTTACAACCAATAGGTTTGACATATTTCTTCCTGGGAGTGAGATTCCAGATTGGTTCAGCTACCAAAATATGGGGCCTAAAGTATCCTTTGAAGTGCCATCGTTTGTGGGTCGTAAGATTCAAGGGCTATTCTTGTGTGCTGTATTTTCCCCAGGACCACCACCTTCAGCTAGCATTGCTACTCACGTCATGCTTGTTAATAAAACCAAAGGTTTTAACTGGCTTGAAACTCCAGGAATTTATTCTTCATCAAGAGACCACATGTGGGTGTTCTCAATGCCACATATTGCAAGTGCAGTTTCTAAAAGTGGAAAATGGTTGGAAGGTGGGGACCAAGTGGAGCTTACAATAGGAGGTGCGAAAAGGTGCGGGATCCATCTGACTTGCGTGCCTGACGATATGATTCCCAGACCCAGTCCCAATCTGTCCACCATCAGTGGAGATGAATCAGATCCTGTTTCCTAAAAGAATTGATAACCGAGAGGGCAGCATACGTCACAATGTCATAATATATGTACATATATATATATATGTATGCAGAAAATTTGTATATATCAATTAAGAGTTTGATTATGCTGGAAATACATAATACCAAAAAAACTTGGGGTCCGTTTGGTCTGCAGATAGGATCGGAATCGGAATCACTTATTATTGATATCAATCAGGAATTGGAATTGGATTCCAATTTTTGTTGTTTGGTTCATTTGGAGTTGGAATTGAAATCAATTGAAAATTTTGAATTTTATATTACTATATTTATTACTAGTAGGACCCACTTATTATTGATATCAATCAGGAATTGGAATTGGATTCTAATTTTTGTTGTTTGGTTCATTTGGAGTTGGAATTGAAATCAATTGAAAATTTTGAATTTTATATTACTATATTTATTACTAGTAGGACCCCATGCGATGTACGGGCTTTGTTTCAATCATTAGTTTTTGAGTTGTGTTTAGCACGTTGCACCCTAGTGAGACAGGGTAAATTGCTATTTTATTTTCTGTTAGTCATTAATAAGTTTATTTTAATAATTATTTTATTTATAATTTTGTAATTGTTAATAACATAAATTTTGTTAGTTTTTAATTTTACCAATTTTAATAGGATTTAAATTAATTAGTATGTTAGTATTTTATTATTACTTTAATTATATTATATTAATATTTTATTATACTATTATTTTATTAATATACTTATTTTATTATTATTATCTTATTAATACTTTCATAATATTTTATTATTTACTTATTAATGTTTTATTGCCATTTTATGAATTGTTTATTAATATTGTATCAAGGTTAAAGAATCGCAATACTTTGAATGCTACATATCCCAATACAAGGAATGCTACAAATCCATTAGTTTCGTTCCTTTTCGTCAGTATTGGATTGATATGGACCCTGGTAATTTGATTGTAATAAACATAAAAAAACCACTATGCCGTATCCAATTGTTGATTATAATTGTATATATTTTTATTCTTTAGCAAATATTTTTCTTCTTAATGGATGTTCATGAATTAATGTTAAAATGGGTGTTGATTAGTAGAAATTATATTGATTTTCTGAAAATTAATAAACATTTTGCTTCTTTCATTATCTTTAACAATTACCATCTTGTCCCTCTATTAGCTTGTTTTCTTATATTAAGATTAAATGTGTACATAAGAAGGCTTGAGGATGAGAGAAATGGATTCTAACAGTATTTTTTGCCTTTTTTTCATAGAAATTACAAGAATGTCATTCTCTACCAACTCTCTCTTTTTTGCTTTTTTTTATTTCAAATTATAAGAATGCCACTCTCTCCTATCAAYTCTCTATCTCTTTTGTTTTTTTCTTTCAAATTACAAGAATGCCACTCTCTTCCCTACCAACTCTCTCTCTTTTTCTTACAAATTACAAGAATGTCATCTCTCTCTCTCTCGTTATAAATTACAAGAATGCCACTCTCTCCAACTGAGGGACACCTCAGCTCGGCATCTTGGCTGTTAGGGGACCTACAATCAAAGGTAGTTGAGTTCGAGCCGAGCCAAACTCAAACTTCTAAGCTCAAGCTCAAGTCTCTAATTCGAATTGAACTCGAGCTAGATGACACCTCGACCACTGAGGGAGACCTCGGCTCAACACCTCGGTCACTGAGGGAGATCTAGGCTCAATACTTCGACAACTGAGGGAGACTTCAACTCGACACCTTGTCGACTAAGGGAGACATTAGCTCGATACCTCGTTTGCTAGGGAAACCTTAGCTCAACACTTCAACAGCTGAGGGAGACCTCGGTTTGGCACCTTGGCAATTGAGGGAATCTCCACTCGGCACCTCGACTGCTTGAGAGACCTACAATCAAAGGTAGTCAAGCTTGAACTTCCGAGCTTTTGACTCGAGTCGAGCTCGAGCTCGAGCTCGAGCTCAAGTCTAAAATTCGAATCGAGCTCGAGCCTGATAGTTTATGAGTGAGCCCTTGCAACGCAGGGCCCCCTTCACTAGTAAGTCTTTGAATAACTTATTTAAGGCCATATAAATGAAGTGCTAGAGGATCCATCATATGGATGGCCGAATCGTGCTAGATGGTTGGGCGAAATTTCAAAAATTTCTTAACCTTCCGGGAGTCCAATTCCCTATGTTCCAAAAAACTGCATTTTTCTTGGATTGTTTTTGCACCAAACTGGACTAGATTTGAAACAAAACAAAAGGGGAGATGTATACCTAATACGGATACCACAAATGCAGATCCCAAGGTGGAAGTTCACGCCCAAATCAGTCCTAAAACCAGCCTCCACTGAAGATGGCACAGTGTACTCTTGAAGTCGGTTCAGCAATACAATTTTCAACAAAACTGTAATCCAATTGCTTGGATCAAACTGAAGAGGTGAGCACAAAATTTCTCTGATTTTTTTTTTTGCAAAAATCAGAGAGAAAATTGATCCTTATCAGTCCCAAAAGCTGTGGTCGAACTAGGGTTTCTTGGGAGACAAAAGAAGAAGAGAGAGAACTGAATTGAGAGGTGTTCTTGATCAATTCACCCTCTTCTTTTATCTCTTTATGGAACATTTTTCCTAATCAAATTAGGAGATTATCCAAATCTAATTTGGATTTGGACTCTATTAAGAGATAAGCCTTATCCTCTAAGAGGATAGGTACTCCATACCCATTTCCAAACTAGGATTCGCCCCATGTCACATGACAATTTAAATTGTCATGTGACATYTTAATTAATCATATTAATTATGGGCTTTAGGCCCACCAGTTATAAGGCTCACGACTCAAGGGTGTTGCTTGGCCAAGTTAGGCCTAATTTGTAATGGCGTGGGACCCCACAATGACCTCACATAAGTCCACATGGGTTCGGCCCAGCCTCTATGAAAAGGCTTGGCCGAATTCACTACTGAATATAGTGAACCCCTAAACACATTACTATAGGCTCAAAATGGGTTCAACATTTACACTTAAATGATCCAATAATTCAGCCATCCTATGAAGACCGAAGGATAATGGACTTAAGTAAGATATAGCCCATCAGATAATCAGCCCTGTAATGATCTCTTACACTTAAGCTAATGATTAAACACTGCCTGACAGGGAATGACCTCTCCCTTGACCGCAAGGTGCAGTGTCACACTCTTTGCTCAGATGGATCCTAGGAATTAAAACATTTTGCAAACATTTTTCATAAAACATAATGTATACATATCATATAAATATATTTTGCAAAACCAAATCTTAAATATAGTTGAAATCTACTACTGTTAGTTTAGGTTTCCATCAGAGAGAGTGTAAACTCTGTCATTCGCTTTGCCCGATAAATGGGTCAATTCTATTACTATGATCACCCATTTAAGTGAATTCTCATATTGCCCCAACAAACCCAGGTTTTGGCTTTCAATGGATTTCACTGATTAGTATATCAAAGACAGTCTAATCCGACACCTAGTGCAATACCATAATCAAGTCTAGGGGTTATGTGTAACTTTCCAGTTTTGCCCATCAATCTACAAGGTTCGAGGCATAACTGGAAAATGGTTCGATTTTAGTGTTTTAACCAAACACACACTACATGTGCTTTGAGTCTCACCCTAGCAGTTGAGACAAGCTACCCCAACTTCTTTGATAACACATCAGTGTCAGCCTTGGTAGGATAAACTCCTCAAATCTATCCAATGTCTGAGAACATTCTAAACTAATATGAGTCTCATAAGTGTCCAGTTTAAGGGGTAAATTCAAATAAACATATCAAWATCAACATGAAACAATAATGTATTTTTATTCATTTATAATAAATGTATATGTACATCAATCTGATTGGAGCTAAGGGTATACATTGTCTAACAATAAAACTTATATTTATTGTTACTAATATATTTTTTAAGATTTATATAAGTTTCATAATGTATCCATGCATATATAAAGCATACATTACTTTGAACCTTGTATTATATTATTATTATTTTAATTATATTGTATGAATATTTTATTTATTCTTTAATATTATAATGATTATATTTGGGGCAAATTTATTAAACTACCCTTATGTATTCTACCTTTACTATTTACATATTGTCTTGTCTTATAGTACCCTTACCATTAATTTTCCTTCACATTCGGTCACACTATATTTTTCAAAAATTCCTAAAATACCCACTCATCTAAATCCACTCCATCTCCATCTTCGTCTCCGTCTCCCCCATCGGAATCCACCTTGTTCTGCAGGTGGTCGTCGATGGGGTTATGGCACGGAACCCTAACTTAGGTGGTCCTCCTTGAAACCTTCTGATGAAAATAATAGGATTAATGCTTTCCGCAAATACCTCAAAATATTGTTGATTGAATTGCATCGCTGAAAATTCAAACCCACCGGATTCTGGCCCATGTTTTTAAGAAATGGAGAGTGAGATTCAAATCCACAAAGAAACAGAAAGAAACAGAGCCATAGATTTCTGAAACATCTCAAAACCCGGTGAGTGTGAGGGAAGATCCAAATTGCCATTGCAAAGAGTTGCAGCAGCGATGATAGGGGAGAAAAAACAAGGAAGCTGAGTTTAGGTTGAAGAAGATAAAGGAGAGAGAGAGGTCCGGTGAGGGTGGTTTGCTGCTAAGAGTTGCAGTGGTGATGGTAGGAAAGAAGGTCTGGATCGCCGCTGACGACATTATACTCGTCGATTTCTATGATTATCAACCCTGCAAAACCATGATTTTCTACGCCAATACTCAGGCGACCTAACAGAGAAACCCAGAATCTTATTATCGCACGTTAGATCAGAAGGGCACAATTGCAACATAGTTCTCCTCTACAGCGAAATAAGCCCTGCAAAACTGAAGCCGTGATTTTCTGCGCCAATACTTCGACGCCAATATACAGTGTCTTTCTGCAAAACAGAAGCTGTGATTTTTGTCCGTTAATGGAAAGCTAAACTTCCGACATCCTCCTCCACAGCTACAGCTGTAGCTTCACTCGCACTTGCAGCGGCCCCTACCTCCGAGTTTCTTTTGCTGACGAAGGCCAATTCTTTTGTTAAGAACATTGTTGCACCCCTCCCAGAATGCCAAAGAAAGGTTATTTTTGTTAAGTGTCCGACTATGATATGGAAAATTCTTGTAATGTTACGTTTGCAGCAATTACCGAATTTACTATATTAATCGGTAATTAATTATTTTATATTATAATTAAAATTTAAAATATTCAAAAAAATATGAATTTTTTTTCCAACTCTTCCCCGTCAATGAAACATTTATACCCCTCAGCGCAATTCAAAACAGGAGAATCCGTCCACCAAAGCTTTCTCTCTTTCAGT